ATATGTGGCAAACAACAATGCTCTAACGAGATTTTATAAGTGGATGAATAGACAGTCGCGTCTGTCGCGATTATTATTTTCTTATGATTGCATGCTCTTTTTAAATATGCACGTGTGTTTTTACAGTAGAATTAATAAAAACAAGAAGAGTGTTGCATTTTAAAATTTATTATTTTTATTTATTTCACTAAATTGAGTTTTTAAATTTAATTTTATTATAATTAAAAATTTTCATAAAAAAAATTACATTAAACTTTTTTATTATAATTAAAAGTTATCATATAAAATCACATCTCAACTCGATTAAAAATTTAAATCAACGAACTGAACGAGACTTGTTTATTTCATTAATTTGAGTTTTCAATACAGTTTTGCTACAATTAAAAAGCTCTCATGAAATAAAGTCATATTTTTTGCTGCAATTCATTTCACCAAATCATTTTTTTTTTTTATAAAATCTCAATGTAATCTGAGAATTTTTTTTAAAGAGAAAATATATTCTGCAACATGGAAAGACAATATATAAATTATAATCTCGTATTATAAGAAATATGATTCCACCTATAAACTCAAATAAAACGATAGAAATATCTAATCAATTAATATTGAGAATCTCATAGCACCAAATCACATAAAAACTAAAAAGAAACAAATCCAACCCATAAAAAACGTAACAAAACTCAAAATAAATAGGAAAGACACGCACTAACAAGAAACAAATCCAACCCATAAAAAAAGTAACAAAACTCAAACCAAATAGGAAAGATACACGAACAAAACAGAGTAAAAATCACATTTATGACAAACCTAAACAAAAGTAAATAATAAAAAGAAAAAACAACTACAAACAACAATTACAAAACTTCCAACAGAGAAAAATAGATCAACGTCAGAAATAACAAGAAAAGATCGAGCGCCGAATAAAGAGAGAAACTGTTAGAAGTGGTGTTTTAAAAGCATAAGATGTAATAAAAATTTTATTATTTATTTAATAAAATAGAAATTTCATTATTTTATGTGAATGTATTATTGTATACTTTATGAATATTAATGAAAATTTTACAATTATTTATGCCACCTTAAATATTGTATATAAGTGTTATAAACTAAAGAAAATATTTAATGATAAGAAATGAGTCTATAATGAATTTAATCAAAATTTGTAATATTTAATTAAAATATTATTAATACATGTCATTCTTATTAAAAATAAAACGAACTTTATTTTCATCGTTGATATGCAAAGATATCAGATGAGTATATTTTACATAATAGAGTATTATGCAATACTACAACATAGACATAATTTAAATTTTTGATAATTTTTGTACTAAATTCAATACCTGTATTTCACAGTAATGAATACCGCCTATCACCATGAAAAATATATATATACATATATACATGTTGATATATATTATTTGTGGACATAAAAGCTAAAAAGTTATTACTTTAAAAATGATAACCGCTCTCAAGTGCACAACAAAATGTTCTAAGATATTTAGATAAATAGATCACTACTTACAGTCGTGTCGAAAAGTTAAAAGCAATGTTTATTTCATATATTCGTTTAATTTTAAATCATAATTTTTTATTTTTTATAATATTTTTTTTATAAAAAGTACACATAAAATAAAAATAATTTTAAATTATAATTTTAAATTTATAAATTAAACACTTACTGAATCTTTTTCGAGCAACTATTTAAATAAAAAATAAAATAATAATTAATTATGTCAGTTATGACTGTCCTTAATATGTTTTATTCAAGCAAGTTTACTTTTTTCAGCGTAGAGCACTTTTCCTTCAAAATTAGAAAAGTCAACAAAATTTTAGATGCGGACAAGTACATACAAACCCCCCCACAAACATATTATATTCTTATTTTAAGTTACGTGACCGTGCATGAAAACGTAAATTTACCATGCAAAATTTTAAATGATATATCGTTAATCTAATTACAGAAACAGAAAATTCGTCGTGTTATTTTAAATGATATATCGTTAATCTAATTACAGAAACAGAAAATTCGTCGAAACACGAGGCAGTGATCAGTGATAACCACCGCCTGAGAAGAAGCGTAAATTAGTTTTCCACCAAATTCAATTAACGCCTTCAACAACCCACGTGCCAAGTGTCATGTTTTTTGCCACGTAAGCAAATTCGAGCGTCAGTTGCGTCACGCGTATCACTCTTCTCTTGCCGCTTCACAAAGCCCATGTTCATTGGCGAGCAGTCTTTTACAGCTTTACCCCTGCCAGGGAATTAATTAATATTTTTAATATGTGGTAAATATTGAAAAACACGATTAGTATTTTAATTGGATTTAATTGTTTACCGGGAAAAGAAGTTATCACTTCAACATGCTCTTGTAATAATGATGCTGACTGTTGTTTTAATGTTTGGTTTTTTTTTTTTCCTTCTTCCTTTTATATAATCCTCAGTTTCCGTGAGAAAAGACTTGGTTTTTGTTTTGTTGCCACCTCCCACCAAGTGACCGATGAAAGAGATCTCCGGCATTGACTCAATCTTCTCCGGTAACTCTCCTCAAAATTTTGTATTTGCGTTATTTTTATTATTTATTATTTATTTCGTAGTACTTTAGAGAGAGAGAGAGAGAGAGAGAGCGAGCTAAGTGGCATTATTTGAGAGAATTACTGAGAGAGAATCTGGAAGGATTTCTGGTTTTGCCGTCTTCAGCTAGAACCGAGATTTCAGTGATATTATTAGTGAAAGGAAATGGTGTAAAAGGTTGCATCTAATTTGGTTTTCTGATCCTTTTCTTCGCAACCCTTGATGTACTTGCCATGATAGAGCAACTGGGTTATGATCAGAGATCTGCTTTCTTCAAAGATTATGTTTTTAGGTGATGCTTTATGGACTTTGGTGGACTGGGTTTTATTTGTTTTTGTATTTCCTTCCTAGATTATAAAAATAAATAAATAAATAAAACCGTAGTCTCTCTCTCTCTCTGTGCCTGTTTTCTCTCTCATACCAACGTTCTAGCATTTGCATTTTCTTCCAACTTTGCAGAATTCATGACTATTTCCTCTGTTTCTTCTCGTCTAGGTTGGATAACACCATACGAAGACCATCTAGAGTGAGAGAAATTACCGGCCAAAAGAGTTGAGACCAGGGGCGAAAAAAGAATTTCAAAAATCTCAAGAGTTTTGCAGGGGAGGCAGAGGAATGGATGTTGGAGGAGAGCAGAGCCCAAATGAGGCCGAGAATGAAGCTTCTTGGGTTCCAATGACACCTCAAAAGCCAAATTTGGGAGGGAATATGCAATTTGCAAGTTCACGGGCCTCGGCTAGCACTTCAGGAGATGAAAGCTTCACGCATTGGGGATCCGCTATCAATGCCGGAATGTCCAACAAGAAGGTTTACTTTGAGACAATGAACAGGTGGAAAGGATTTTCTTGTCAAGAGCTCTTGTTTCAAGCAGAAGCCGGCACTATCATGCCTTCAGCTACTCAAAGTTCTGAACCCAAGTGTAAGATTTGGTTTACAAATTACAATGCTCCTTCTTTGAATTGGCCTTTTTTTTCTTTTTTCTTTTTTTTTAAATTTACTATCACTGTGAGCTTTCACATATTATTCACCACAGAAAATGTAGTTAGCATCGAGTTGCGATCTTGATTACTAATCTGTAATGTACCGGTCTTACTGCAGGCCAAATTCCAAACCCTCGTCATCATTCCTACGATCTTAATTTGTCACCTGAAGCTACATTCAGCATTTTACATGGCAAGAGCATCCCCAAGTTCGCACCTCTCACGCCAGACAAGTCCACGAGAGTAGATAACTCAGATGTAGATACAAGAGACTGCGACACAGAGAAGCAGAAGAATCAAACCACTACAGCGATGGAGCTAGTCAGTGAGCCAGATAATGATGGACAAAGCCCAAGGCCTGCAACAGAGTCCTCACTCATGGTAGACTCCACAAAACTCCAGGAGAAACAAAATTCTGACAAGGGAGACGGCCAAGTAATCGACCTGAATAAAACACCGCAGCAGAAACAAAGAAGGAAAAAGCACAGGCCCAAGGTGATTACAGAACGGAAACCAAGAACTCCAAAGCCAAAGACTCCGAATCTTGCTGATTCTAAGAAAAATACAACAGGGAAGAGGCAATATGTTAGAAAGAATAGAAATGAAATAGCTTCAGAAACACCACCAGAAGTAGCTGGACAGTTTAGCGACTCCAAAACACGAACGCCTAGGAAGAGGTCCTGCAAAAGGACCTTAAATTTTGAAGAAAAGCAACCAGAAGCCGAGGATTCAGCATATAGTTCTTCCAAAGTGAATTTGGAAGTGAATTTGGAAGTGAATTTGGAGTGGCAGGTACCTAATTTTTGCACCAGTAAAGTTTCAAAATCAACTATTCAAGTCTGCAGTAGTATTGAAGAAGTTCTGGCAAGAAACAAACAAGCAGGGGCGATCTATCATGAAACCGCTGGAACAGTTATGTTGGACGAGGACAGACCACCATGCCCAATGAGTCCAAACGATTCCAACTGCAGCACTAGTCTAAATCTGACACAAGGACAAGAACAAGCTAAAGTCCCCATGGGAAACTACCATCATGTTCTCAAAGTAGCAGATTCTGGAAGCGTGAATATGAATGGTGCTTTGTATAATAGTCTACATGAGTATGAAGTCTCTTGGTTGAATAATAAGAAAAGGAGAACTGATAAGGGGCAGAACAATACGACACAAAGCATCATATTTTGCAGCACAACAAAAGATCGCTGTAGAGTTTCAGCTGCATCTGGACAAGCTGGGAAAGGCCTTCAAGAAAACCTGCAAACCAACAAGTACATCTTTATGCCTTTAAGTCCAGATGAGAGGCCAACGAAGAAAAGATCTATAAGAGCTCATAAGTGGGTTTCACTAACTAGTGTAGCAGGACGCAAGATGGGGATATCTCATCCCAAAAAACTTCACGATGTAAACAATAATGGGGAAAGAGTTGAAAACTCAAGTGGAATTAGCAGCTGCATTCATGCCCTAATTGCACAGACAAGAGAGACACTAGCAAGAAAGAGCCGAACAAAGAAGAGAAATTCTCCAGCAGTCCAAAATCCTACATTGTGCGGTGACCAACAATTTTATTCCAAGTTCGCAGGTACTTCAACAGTTGTCTGCACACCATTTATCATTTTTTTCATACTCCCATTTGTAGAGCAGTTGTATGATTTTTTTCACCTTCTTATTGTAGGACCATCAACAACGATGCTTTCTGTCGATGCAATCGACAGGCAATTGAAGTGCTTGGACATCAATAGAGAAAGCAGTGTCCCTTATCGCGAGAGCAATGCAATCATTCCTTTTAGTATAAGATATCAAGAGCAAAATGCACTCATTCTTTATAGAAGAGAGGGCACTGTTGTACCCTATGCAGGTTCATTTGATCCTATCAAGAAACCTCGTCCTCGACCTAAAGTAGACCTTGATGACGAAACTAATCGAGTATGGAAACTTCTCTTGGAGAATATAAATAGCGAAGGTATTGATGGAACAAATGAAGAGAAAGCAAAATGGTGGGAGGAAGAACGAAATGTTTTTCGCGGACGAGCAGACTCTTTTATAGCAAGAATGCATCTTGTGCAAGGTACAAAGTTTTAATATCAGCCACCGAATAATCTAATGCAGTAGAAAGATAATTGTGTGTCAAACACACTACCCATCAAGATTTCTTGTGGTCAACTAGCCAAAGAATGCCATATTAAATAAGACGCAAAAATTTTAAAAGTCCTACTTATATCCTCAATGCTAAGAGGGGAAGAAACAAAACGAGTGGAGAGAAACAAAGATGCTCCTTCTTCATTAACTACCAAATGGAACTTAAGAATTTCTTAAATCATATTTACCTCGCCTTCCCACGAAAGCCTTATACCAAAGTTTACATGCCATCCTTCACCTAACTTGAAGATCAGGCACCACCAGACCAGCAATCTTGGTGCATGCCGCACAAAAGTTTATGAAAAGCTGAAATCTCTTCCAGGGTGATATTCCGTGGTGCCTATCCTGGATCCAAAAAATTAAAAGGCTTTAGCAACTTGCACTTACTGCTAAATTGCAAATGATGTATCCACTCCACACACACACACACACACACAGAGGTAAGAAATTGAAAAGGTACAAGAGCTATTCCACAAATGAAAAATTGCAAGAGAATACCCAAAAACAAAGATAATACAAAGACAAAAATTGTGGTTAGAATCTTCATTTGTGCCTAAAATTAAGAGTATTTGAAACTTCAAATACTGAGCTTAAGCAGGGAACTTGTGCTTATTTGAATTTTTTTTTTCTTTTTGCTACGTCTACTCATTGCATTACGAAATCTACAAAATCATGACAGTACAATGAAACTTCTGCAGGAGATAGACGATTCTCTCAGTGGAAGGGATCGGTTCTAGATTCAGTTGTTGGTGTTTTTCTCACTCAAAATGTCTCGGACCACCTGTCTAGGTAACAATGGTTTATAAGAAGATTATAAGATAACTAAATAGTAATTAGATAGAAAGAATTTCTTTCACCATTCTCTTTATGATGTTACAGCTCAGCATTCATGTCGCTTGCTGCGCGTTTTCCTCTCAAGTCAAGAAACCATGACAAAGCATGTGTGGTATCAGATGAACCAGAAGTGCGCATAAGTGAGAGTGCTCCAAATCAGCCAGTTTGTGACAGGACTTCCTTTATAGCCCTTGATACAGAGCACATTGAAATAACGGGTGCTTCAGAATGTTACATGGAACAAGGTGGGAAAGCAATAACTGGTCCAGTCTCACTGCAGAATTCTGTGGATTCTACCACCTCTCAAAGTTACAAGTCGGGATCTTGCTCGGGGAGCAACTCAGATACAGAGGATGTACCAAATAGATCTGAAGATCACTGTTGTCTACACAAGGATGAATCCTCCACGCTAATGGAGGCGTATCAAAGGCGTGAGCAGATGCCATCTAACGAGAAGTTAAAGGATGAATGCAATGACAATAACGCTACGGAGCATGAAAACGAGAGACAAAATATAGACAAAGCTAGTCCTAGAACTTACTTAGAATCATCCATGGACCCTGCTAGCAGTAATTGTATGCATGAAGCCACTAACGAAGATGCATTGATAATTGAGAGCTTTAAGGTATTCAAGGAAGATACACAATCTTCAGATATTTCGCAGATCAGAACTGAAAACAGTGCAAGTGATCAGAGTACATTAACAGTGGAATCTGCAAGTCAAAAAATTATTCAAGAGAAGATCACAGTGACTCTGCAAGAAACCGAAAGGTGTCCTAATGTGCTGTGCAACAACATTCAGGTAGAGCAAAATATACACACTGAATCTCAAAACAGCCTCGTTGAAAACCCAGTAAACTTTGAAGCGTTGACTGAGGAAAAAAACATTGGAATAGAGCAAAAAGTGCCAAATCATTCTGACGAAACCCAAGCAGTTATGAAAAAGACTGAATCAGATTTTGATTACTGTGGTCAGTCATTGAGTAAGGAGTGCAGTGAGATGGATGCCACTACTGAAAAATCAAGGGGTAAAAGGGTAAGAAAGGAGAAAAAAGATCGGGACTGGGACGAACTAAGGAAACAAGCAGAGGCCAATGGACGAAGAGAAAGAACAGCAAAAACAATGGACTCCTTGGACTGGGAAGCTGTTAGATGTGCCGAGCTTGAAGAAATTGCTGATACAATTAAAGAACGAGGCATGAATAACAAACTTGCAGAACGAATCAAGGTACCTGTATAACGCTCAGCATATTTCTACAGTGGAAAATGGAAATAAAGGGCACATTTGGTTCATGCATTCAAACCAGTGATTCTTGATTCTGACATTGGAAATTCAAATTTTGTGAGAGAAAAACACTGTAGCAGAATCAAAACCATGGGTTTAAATGCATGAAACAAGCGGGCCCAAAGTCATTCTAAATCATGCCATATTTTATATAAAACTCTTTGGAGTAAGCTAATTATTGTTGAGAAGTCATGCAGGATTTTCTTAACCGGCTGGTAAGAGAACATGGAAACACCGACCTTGAGTGGCTGAGGGACGTTCCACCCGATGAAGCAAAGTAAGCCAAACGGAAATGACCAAACCGAACTCATAAGTTTGGGAACTAAAATCAGATTATACAGCTCTTTCTCTTGCATGTTATTATCATTGATCCAAAATTGGTTATAAATATTCTATCTAAAACATGTTATACGTCTGTGGTTTAAAATTTTTAATGCAAAAATCACCTTGTCCTTGTAGAGAGTATCTGCTAAGCATAAGGGGATTAGGGCTGAAAAGTGTGGAGTGCGTGCGACTTTTGACGCTTCACCATCTTGCTTTTCCGGTAAGTTCGCGGGTGTGACATCGTGAATAGATGGAGCTGATCTCAATAATTAATAATCAAATCTTTGGTAGGTCGACACAAATGTTGGACGTATTGCTGTACGACTAGGATGGGTACCCCTTCAGCCACTGCCCGAATCACTACAGTTGCATCTTCTTGAACTGTGAGAATTCTGAGCCCTCATATCACTCCTGCAAATTATAGGTGCTTAAAACGGGATTTAATATTCTGCTGCGTCATAGGTACCCAGTGTTGGAATCTATTCAAAAATATCTATGGCCCCGACTATGCAAGCTTGACCAAAGAACACTGTAAGAGCAAATCCCTTCAAACTTAGCATATTAAGACGTAATTTTTTCCAATTTTCCAACTCATAGGATGGGTAAAAACAAAATGATGAATTGATCGATTGAACTGTCTCTTTTTATTTACAGGTATGAGCTACATTACCAGATGATAACATTTGGAAAGGTAATCTTTGCTTGTATTAATTTCTGTTCAGACTGATTTATTGTTCAAGGTTACAAGCTAGGAATAATCGAAACAACATTTTTTTACTATGCAGGTTTTTTGCACAAAAAGCAAACCAAATTGCAATGCATGTCCTATGAGAGGAGAATGCAGACACTTTGCAAGTGCATTTGCTAGGTTTGTATCCCATTGGCTCCAAACAATAACACCTATGTTGCTTATCAAGAAGAGAGAAAAATAGATAAATAGAGAACCAACACATGTACTGCAATGCATTTCCATTACCATACAAGGAACAAAAGTCATCCAAAACTTTATTAACAAAAGGTTTTGAATGCAGTGCACGGCTTGCTCTGCCAGGGCCTGAGGAGAAAAGTGTAGTGATTTCAACCAATAAAGGAAATGAAGACATAAACTTTACTGATATGAACGAGAAGACACCTTTATCCCTCCCTCAAGCAACCAAACAATCAGAAGAAGAGCGATCGTTGGAAGTACACCACCAATCAGAAGCAATAGTTGGAACCAGTTACTGTGAACCAATTATTGAAGAGCCAGCAACACCAGAGCCAGAGTGTGCAAATACATTAGGGGACATAGAGGACTTTTTCTCTGAAGATCCTAATGAAATTCCTACAATCAAGCTTAACATTGAAGAGTTCACTCAGAATGTACAGAACTACATGCAAAGAAACATGGAACTTCAAGATGCTGAAATGTCGAAGGCCTTAGTTGCTTTAGGACCAGAAGCTGCTTCTATTCCTATGCCCAAGCTGAAGAATGTGAGCCGACTAAGAACAGAGCACCAAGTGTAAGTGGGCATACTAGGTCTGCCAAACCCACTTACTATCGATACATAGATTTGTAAGACAAAGTTAACCAAAAGTTCACAAGCCTATCCACTAAAAAGTCCAAACAAAAGAGTACAAGATCTGTATCTCTGAAAATCGAAATTAACTAGAAACACACACACACACACACAACTAATAGGATTTAGCTGAAAACCAATTTTGCTTATAAGCATACCAATTTAGTGTTTACGCCAATTTTTATAAGAATTATGCAACCCCAAACTGTAAAGATTATTTTACTAATTGTTTCAGCACGATGCAGATATGAGCTTCCAGATTCGCACCCTCTTTTAGACATGGTAAGTACTTTACGTATTTACAACGAAAATCGAATTAAACTTGTAAAACTTTGATTTCTACCGACTCTTGTTTCATATACAGTTACAGTTGGAGAAAAGAGAACCTGATGATCCAAGCCATTACCTTTTGGCCATATGGACACCAGGCAAGTAGATTCTAGACAGCTATACACACACATTGATACAAATATATAAATATATAGCAAACCAATATAATAGATTCCATTGTTCTGCGTGTTCTAACCAACTCAGTTTATATTTCATCTCAGGTGAAACCCCAGAGTCCACTGAGCCACCTGAGAGGTGTTGTTCCCAAGGATTAGACAAATTGTGCAATGAAGAGGGTTGTTTCTCATGCAACAGCATCCGGGAGGCAAATTCCCAAACAGTCAGAGGAACAGTTTTGGTACGACTAATGATAAGTAAATAACGATTTGATACAAAAACAACAACAGACACATGTACACAACAACTATAACTCTGATAAGAACAATATCAATAACCAACTAGAAAACTGAAATAACAGCATTGATTATGGTGATTTTGAATCTTCCCCATATGCTATGGACACGGATCTAAGTAATGCTGAAATATTTCATGAACAGATACCTTGTAGGACTGCTATGAGAGGAAGCTTTCCGCTTAATGGGACCTACTTTCAAGTTAATGAGGTGAGACAACCTGTTCCTTTGTGACTGAGGCCTATGTTCATGGTTGGGCAATATTGACTGGTTCAATAATTCAATTCCTATACAGATGTTTGCAGACCATGATTCAAGCCTTGAGCCAATTGACGTTCCTAGGGCTTGGCTATGGAACCTACCAAGGCGAACTGTGTACTTTGGAACCTCCATTCCAACAATATTCAGGGGTAGTTATTGTAAACCGTGATATGGAATTAATTTCTTACCATTGACAAAGGAAAAAAGTTGACATTAACATTAAAATTTATGTCACCAGGGTTGACAACACAAGGAATTCAACAGTGCTTTTGGAGAGGTATGTAAAAAACCTGAATTCCTATTTGCCATGACAATCTAGCTACTTTAATTTGAGATTTGTTATTGCTCTCCTATTGACCTAAGAATATTATTTAAATATTTCTAAGTGAATAATCTGAACTCCTATTTTCCATGACAACCTAGAAAACTATCTAAGAACACATCACAAATCCAACTCAAACTAGCACAGTCAATGCAATAAGCCTTAAAAAACCACTAACCTGAAAAATAAAGGTATTTGTGTTAGCAATAACACGGTTTTCCTGGCAGTAGAATTCCAATTGTCTTCTAATGTATTTGTGCACTCTGGCTCTGATAATTGCTAATAGCACGGTTTTCCTTTGTTTATCTCTCAATATGTTGGTACGGAGATTGCAAAGTAGACAATTCAGAATTCAACATGTGGAATTACTATTTGCTTAGAAACTCAACCTTGTTTTGCAGGTTATGTCTGCGTGAGAGGATTCGACCAAAAAACCCGAGCGCCGCGACCTCTAATCGCGAGACTTCACTTTCCGGCCAGCAAGGGGAAGAGAACAAGAGACCCGAAGAACGACGGGTAGAAGACAGAAGGAGAAGCTTGCCGCGACGTCGTTCGAGTCGTCGGAGCCGGAATTTTCTCTGAAGATTAAAGAAGCGCGTTTAGGAACATCAAAAAACCCAGTAGATTAGAGTTTCTAACAATTTTCGGACAAAAATCTCCAGAAAAAAATGGGGATGCAAAGAAAAAACGAAGGCTGACCTAGTAAGTTGTATATCAACAAGATTTGTTCTCTTCTGAAACTTTCTTCTCCTTCTTCTTCCCTTTCTTTTCTTTTGTGTTGAAGAAATCTGACGGAATCCATGGCTGGCAAGTGAAATCTGGCGACCGGAGGACGACGCTACTGTAGTACGTGTGGAGGACGATGGGAAATCCAAAATTTTGCCGCTTTACCGCCACTTTCATCTTCCCTTTCCCTCCAAATACACCTTCGTTCGTCCTATTGCTCTCTCTCTCTCTCTCCTTTTTGAAATGGCCTTCGTCCTATTTCTACTATCGTCGCTTTTTTTTTAGGGTTTGTCTACAGTCTTTTTACAGCACGATTATATACGTTAAAAGACACCGATAATATTTAACACCGTAATTTACTAGACACCGAGACTCGCGACACGATATTCATATTGTATAGAACAATGTCATACCACTCATGAGATATGAGTCGTATTGGGCATTATATGTTAGTAAGAGTGGGGTTAACTATTTAATTCGAAAAATGAAGTAAATGAGAGATTTATGATACATAATTAAAATAAATTGTAAATTTTAAAATATGATAAATAATTAAAATAAATTATAAAATTTAAAATTATCTGAATTAAATAGTAATAATTTATGGGATTAAAAAATGTATTGTTATTTACTTTAAAATTTAAATATTTTAAAATTTGTTATTTATTTAATTTTAAAAATATACTATTCGTTATAATTTTTATTTTTTATTAGTTGTGTCGATGGTGTTTTCGATGAGATTCAAACTTTCAATTCCATAGGGACATCAATAAGGGTGAAATTTATGAATTAAAATACTAGGAAAAGAAAACAAAGACTAAAGAAATATATATAGTCATTTATGCAGGAGTAAACTAAAAAAGGACTTTGTGTTCTAAAAAAAAGGAATTGAAAGAGTTTTTTTGTTTTATTAAAAATTGAAAAGAGTTTTTGAACTCAGCAACAGATTAATCTCAACTCTCATTTGGTTTATTAGTTCAAATTTTGTTGATTTAATTTTTTTTTATTTGAACATGAAAATTTAAACTGTATGGTTTAAATTGTAGTTTGGATTAGCGTTTAGATGTGCAGTTAATTAATAACTCTCATTTGGTTTATTAGTTCAAATTTTGTTGATTTAAATTTTTTTTATTTGAACATGAAAATTTAAACTTATGGTTTAAATTGTAGTTTGGATTAGCGTTTAGATGTGCAGTTAATTAAGTATAATGACAAAAAAGACATTTTATATCATAAAAAGTACCTCAAGGTATTTATAAGATGTTTTCTAAAATTCAAAAGTACCATTACTATCCTAATATTACGAAAAACATAGGGTACTGACAACATATTTTGATATTATATGAGATACCCAAATGACTTTATTCCTTTTTTACAGGAGACTTTGATGTTGGCCATGCATATTTCATAGATCTATTTTTTTTAGCTCATCTTGGTTTGTATTCCTATCTAGAATTCTGGATTAATTACAAAAGTTTCCCTTGAATTATGTTATTTGTAACACTTTATCCATTAATATTTAAAACGTAATATTCATTCCTCCTTAAGAATGAAATATTAATAAAAAAAAGTCTCATCCGTTAGGTTTTTTTAATGGAAATTGATATTTGATTTGTTATTTTGAAGTATTTTAGTAGCTCTATGGTTTAAAATTTAGTTTGAACTTAAACTAATTTAAATATTAAAAAAAATCATAAATGTTATTATTCTACTAAAAAAGAGATTTATAAAATTTTTAACTTACATTTAATCAATAATAGATGCATAATAATTAAAAGTTAAAGCATAAATAAGTTTTAAATTCAAACTAAATTTTAAACTATAGAGCTATCAAAATACTCTAAAATAATAAAATAAATATAAATTTCCGTTAAAGAAACTTAACGGGGGGCTTTTTGTTAACATTTTATTGTTTATGAGGAACATATGTTACGTTTTAAATATTAAACGATAAAGTATTATAAGAGATATGGTTTAGAGAGAGTTTTTATAATTAATCCTAATTTTTTTTAGCTCATTATGGTTTGTATCTCTCTCGCGAAGATCTGGGGAAAAATTTTCTATAAGCAATATTTGTTGTCCTCTAAGGGAAATCATGTCTTTCTTCGTACAAGATGGGCATGAGCTCATGCAGCAAAATTTTAGGACTCGTTTAGTTCGCTGATTTAAGTTTTTAATTTAAGTTGATATGTGACTTTATGTGAGAACTTTTTACTGTAACAAAAAAGTTAAACGTGACTGTTTCTGAGAGTTTTTTACTATAACAAAACTCGAATTGGTGAAATTAACGGGGCCTTAGTTCTTTTTTTTAATTAAAAACATCGTTCGACATGTTATGATACAATAAGATATGGACTATAATAATCCTTCTTAATCTATATTGAGATTCAATCTTTTACCCTGAGATTGTATTTATTAATAAGAAAAAGTAGTCATACCCTACCAAAGACCTTTTTTTTTTTTTTTTTAATTTGATTGGTAATGACATGCATCTTTTTTCTAATAAAAAATAAATAAATTCTCGTACATTTTATTTTTCATTTTTTTTATAACACCTCTACAAACTTTTAATTTTGTTAAATTAGATCCTGAACTTTAAAATATGTAGTAATTAAAATTTAATTATTAACGAACATTATCAAGTTGATGGTTTGAAATACAAAATTTGCACATAAGAGACAAATCTCATCATTTTTCAAACTTGAACATGTGCAATTTCTATATGTAGGAGTGTCACGCCCCCCAAACGGGGTGGGTGACGTGGAGCTCGATTAGGAATTAATAAAGCAAATTCATAACTGGACCCAACATTTAACTGCATTAAAATATAATTATATTACTACAGAATCCAAGAGCCTCTGACACACAGGGCTCCACCCCACAGGACATACAGTATCATACATACATGCTCATGTAAATAAACATTACAACAGACATCAACCACAGTCTAGTAAATCCAAATATTATATAAGTTTACAGAATCTCTCAAATTCCTTACATTTGTCCAAGAGGATGTCCACGATCCTCACTTGATTCCAACAGCAGCACAACTCAGCTGATCCGTAGCAATTATCCAGCTACAGTGCCCTGCTCCTGAGTCTCCTGGGAGGGGTTTAATACATTTGAAACATAAAACATGAGTGAAAGGCCCAGTAGGATATAATTTAAAATAATTATTATAAATAAATGAATAATAAGTGTGCGGAGAAATACATAAATAAATAAGTAAATAAAATAAGACATTCAGTCCCGACAGAACAGCCGGAACCTCACATCATTTTTCTCAAAGGAAATATAACTGTAAATAACCGTTTTACAGGCTTTAGCAAGTAATTAGTACAAATTACTTACCTAACCAAGTGCCTCGCCTACCCGGACC